ATTTGGTTCCTCATGTTCATGAAAAAACACATCTGTTCCGTTATGTTTTAAAAATTCAACACTTTTAGTCTTTTTGGTCAATTTTACGTCAAAACTAACGTAATCAAGTGTGTGCGCATCAATGAATTAACTGACAGACTAACGGTAAATTGACGGAAATGACCAAAAACGTTAAATTATTGAAACATGAGGGACCAAATGTGTACAAAATATAAAATCGGTGCAAACTTGAGAGGTGAAAAATATAATTCTCCTTTTTTTTTTATCTTATACACAACCACACGTGCGCACACCTGTTTAAACTTCCACTTTTCCCGACTCAGTTGACACAGATTCAATTATCAACACTAACAATTATAGTAATTAAATTATCAACAAACCTGTAGTAATATAATTACAATGTCAATCAATCAAGCTTATCAAAAAGGGTCATTAGTAATTTTCGACCATAATAGTATGTATTTTCGTGTGTAATTTTTCCAATATTGATAATAAAATATATTATTTTCTTGTTAATAAAAAAATGACAAATAATAAAATAACAATGATTATAATAAATAAATAAAATAACAACGTCAACCAAAAGCATCTTACACACATGGGAATGTGTGTGTTTCCTAGGATTCAGAGTTGAGTTATAATCTATTTTATTCTATCAACAGCCGCAACCGCAGAATTCAAATATATTAACACACTCTTATTTCCGGTCAAAACAATCCCGTCCGTAACATTCCCCCGCCGCACGGCGGCGATGCACGGCTGCATGGAGTCGTTGGCGGCAAGGCCGAGATCATAGGTCGCCGTCGGCGGATCAACTTTGAGGTCACTCAGGGCAATTTCGACATTTACTATCACATTGTCGTACGCCAATTTGCACTGTCGGAAAACCCCCGTCGAATTATTCGATCCCCCCTCGCTCGATTTCTTCACCAGGTACGCCCTTGTTAGGGTCGCGTTCGCGATTCCCGCCTCCATTATCCCCACCGACAAATCGCGGAAGTTTTTGGCGGGGGATGTTTTGTTGTCGGATTCGAGGATGTCGATGCATGATTCCACGTCGAAATTATCGATGCCGGTGTTTGAGCAGGCGGCGCTAATCAAGGAAGACGGCGATGAAGAAGCGCATTTCGAAAGCACGAGTATAGCGAAAAGGAAACTGACGCTTTTTGAAAAATACATTTTTATATTTATTTGTGTGAAAAAAACTTAATTTTGGGATTGGCGGTTTATATTGCCCCACCCCCCTCCGAGGGGTGCGGGATTTTAAATATATATTTTTACCTTTTATTAATGATTCTGTAATTTAACTTTATTGTGATTATCTTTCTTAATAATTAGGTGATTATGATTATAAGGATTGTGTGATTAGGAAGATCTCATCGAATTAAATATCTTGATTATTTAAGGGATCTTTAAATTGTGTTAATGTGATGAATTTATAATGCACAATCGTGCTTGCTGAATATAATCCAATTTTCAGCATAAGAAATTGAACGTTGACCATAATATAATATACTTATTTGGTGTTGACCATCTATTACTCATGAATCCAATTCCAGCATGAGAAATTGAATTTTGCTGAGTGTTGAAGAGGAATATTCCCATTTGTAATTGATTTGTTACCTGTCACAATGTCACAACACGGTGTGATTTTTATCGAAATCTTTTTTTATTTTAGGGAATATTTTTCTAAAAAATGCATTTTTTAAATATTTGTGAATGGCTATTATCAATATGTTCTACGTTTGTAGGGGTAAATTAATATTTTTGGAGAATATTATCTGGAATAAAAGAATTTCATGAAAACTCACACCGCAAGGGAGCCGCCGGAAAAGGTGCGTGGAAAAAGGAAACAACCGAAAACTCACAATGCACCTTCGAGGATTTAATAAATAGTCACGTTACGTTAGTACTAAACAACTAAAATTCTACCATAACGGAAACTAAATTCCGATTAATTAAAATATGAAATTCATCTGCTTCTAATGCAATTTGAATCAGTAAAGTCAAATTTTCTACCGCGATGGATTAAAAAAAAAATGCAAATGTAAAAAGAATCGACACTGATTAATAATAAATAATATATTAAAATCAATCAAACATAGTACACAAGGTCTTATAATAATAATAGACCCACATGAATTTCAACAAGTTCCAAAAATTAAAAAAATAAAAATAAAAATAAAAATAATTAATAAAATACAAACCGCCCCCACGACCAACTTTTATTCATCTTCCCCACACATACACACACACACACGCACGGGTATGTGCGTGTTATATTTTATCACACGCCGCGATTGCAGAGAAAATGTATATAAACAAATCATTATTCCCAGCCAGAACAGTCTTGTCAGCGGCGGCGCCCGCCGCCCTTAGGGCGGCGAGGCACGGCTGCATCGAGTCGTTACTGGCGAGGCTGAGATCGTACGTGGCACTCATCGGGTCGTCGTCGAGTTCACTCAGTGCACCCTTGATATTCCCAATCACCGAGTCGTACGCCAACTTGCACTGATCGTAAACATCCTTCTGGTTCGATTTCTCGGCCGCCTTCTTAATCAGGTACGCCCTCGTAGCGGTGGTGTCCACGATCCCGGCCTTGAGTATCGCCGCCGACAAATCGTGGAAGTTCTTCGCGGAGGCAATCTTTTTGTCGGATTCGAGCGTCGCGACGCACGATTTCACGTCGAAGTTGTCGCGGTTGGTCGTCGAGCATGCGTCGTTGATCAAGGATGATGAAGAAGCAGCAGCGCTCTTTGTTGAGAATAAAAGAACGGATATTGTTATTGTGAACAAAATACTTACACTTGAGGAAGACATTTTTTTTTTTTTTTATTTATTAATATTTTTTTTTGGGTAATATTTTGTTCAGTGTAAAAAATTTGGAATTAGTTTGTATTTTGTAGGCGTTGGAAGAGGTGATTCTATAGGAGTCACGTTTATATAGGAAAAAATAAGAGATTATTAAGGTTTGCTGCAAAAAATATTAATGGTTTATTTTTAAAAGATAAGATTTGACGGTCTTATCTGTATGTGCTATACCTGGTGAATTTCGTCGGGTGGTTTTGCACCGTAGATATAGTTAGTTAATTAATTACCTTTTATTAATATTTAATTAATCTAATTTATGTTATGTGATTATGAATGGTGTGAATGTGATTAGGAAAATAGGAAGAAATCAAATAAAATCGAAATCAGATAATCGTTCTGTCTTGATTATATTACACAATCATGGTTGCTGAATGTTGAAGAGGAATACGATCTATAAATGATTTTGTTACCTATTACATTTTTATTTAAATAGTTATGTTATGTGTTTTATTTATGTTAAAACTGGGCTTAGAACGAGTCAGCCTTATTTAAATGACCCAAACTGAATTTATATAATTAGTGAGTGAATGGGCTTAAACTTTTGGTTTTCGTTTTTAAGTATGTGGATATTGGTATGGATTTATTAGCTAATTTGGCCCAAAAAGATCTTCTTGTAGAGAGTGAGGCCCAAATAGGTCAATCGAGCAAGAAACAACCAGCGAGCAAATTCCTCAGCGAGAGGTCCGTCGAGCAAAAAATGGCGAGCTAAAGAACCGTCTTACTCTCTGAGACCAGTTAATGTAATACCAATCAGATGTTTGGTGTAGAGAATATTTTCTACTTTTATCACATGCATATAACCTACCAATAGTGTGTGACACGACAGGGTAAATGGAGTTATAATGGAATTTGGATTCCGTTGATGTTTTTACTGACATGATTAGACAGATTAAACCAAATCAAATGAGGATTTTGAAGTCAGGACTTTGCTATAAATACGAGGATCCACGAGTGTGAAAAAAAGGTAAGAACAACGATCATAATACTTGTAAGCTGTGAGAGAAATCCTTTTTAAAAAAAGTACTGACTTAGTCGTTGGAGTCCTAATATGTTCGATATGATTATGTTCTAATTAGTTCATTACTTACACTTTCTTCACAATGAAATCCGTATCCACATATGTGTACTTCATAAGCTCTCCAATCGTACAATATCGAACAAATACATAGATGCACGATCAGATGTCGCATTCTCCTAAATTAATAACTCGTTTTGAATCCTTTATAGTTCTTAAAAGTGAGCTTCAATTAGGCGTGACAATCTGAAAAATACGTCCGTTTTTTATTCGGATATTTTAAATTTTGGAACATTATAGTTTACTCTAATTTTTTAAGTTTAATTTTTATTTTTATTTTTCAAAAGTTTTTAAGAAGAAATTGAAACTACTTTTTCACTTCCGAAAAACGAAAAATGTACTGATTTAAATTCCGGTTTAAATTTCAATTCGATCCATCCGATTCCTTTACAAACAAATTAAAAAAACTCGTACCCCACTGAATTCGAGTGTGGCAACCCCACTGCTAAATTACCTCCAAAACACCCAATCAGAAACCTAATTTGGAGTGTGGTTCAGATCATTTCCCTTTCACCAAGATTTCTCAAAATTCCCTAAATCCTCTGTAATTTCAATTCCAAACCCTAAACCAGTACAGATTTCAATTTTTGTTTCTTATATATGTATTGGAGTGGGAATTATGGGGTTTTTTAAAAAGCTCGCCGGGTTGTTAGGGTTCGCTAAAGATGAAGACCACCTGCACCACAACGACGCCGCTGATGACAACGACGACGCCGCCGCTCCGGTGTCTTCGCCCTTGGCGGCTGCGGCGGCGGCAGCCGCGGCAACAGCTTCAGCTCATCATCTTCCGCGCAGAGGCTTCAGTGTCCCCGTTCAAGTACCCGTCGAGCGGGCCGCACAGCCTCCACTACTCGTATTCTGCCCTGCCGGAGACGGCGGAGTTCAGGTTTGTCTCTGTTTGATGAATTTCACGCTTTGATTTAGTTGATTTCTTCGAACTGGCATTTTACATTTTTTTGTGCTTATTGCTGTTAAATTGATTGGAAATTCGGGAATGTTAAGCATTTGAGTATCGTGCACGCGTTTAGCTTTCCAGATCTGAATCGTGATGAATGTGAGCAGAATCTCGGGGTATTAATTTTGGTTTTTAGGTGGAATAAAGCTGCTGATTTTGTGAATCTGGTGGACTTTCCTGAATATTATGTTTTGAATTTTGAATCCATTAATTTATTACTAGCTGCAGTTTCTAGTAGGCGAAAATGTCACATTTGAGGAATAAGGTCTGATTCGATGTTATGTTTGACTTTGTCGTTTATGTTTACTTTAAATGTTACTAATTTCATATTTTTGTTTGCGGCAACTGACAACAGGTAGATTAATTTTGATGATCGTGTTTGATGGAATGCTAGAGTGCTAATGTTTCATGCTTTTAATTTGTATTTTATGTTGTCCGCTTCTTTGTTTGAATAACAGTGGATCTATTAGTTGTCGTGCCAAAGTAGAGGATTTGGTTCTGTTTATACTTCAATTGTTACTTTAATTTGCTTTAAAGGGTATGTCGGAGAAGGCTAGATATCTTACGATCATGAAATAGTATGTATAGGAGAATGCTGTCGGGAGTAGGCTGATATTTTCCTTGGAGAAGATACAATTTCAAGAATAATGTTACTTAAGAGTGTGAATTTGTTGTGGATAAGTATATTTTGGGAAACGGCACGGGAAGGAAGATTGTTGGCCCCGGTGGTGAAATAAATAAAACTTAGTGCTGGATTGAATCGGTCAAAACTTGGTCTCTTGATCCTTTTGTTTCTTGGCCTACATTTTGGTGCAAGCATATTAACGGTTAGTTGAGCTGTCCTAAAACAAGAGGTAGAGGAAAGAAAATATAGACTGTTAGAAGATTCGATGTATGCAAGGGAAAAATAGATTCTTATATCACTCGTTCATGTTGTTACCCACTCAAATCATTATTGAAACTCCTTATGAACCTCTTAAATCTTGCATCCATGTATGTGGAGACGTGTTTGTCTGCACAACTTCGTCAGATTTGTATTTGGAATTGTTTGTATTAGCACTTGTGTTCTCTATTCCATACTTGGATTTTTTTTCCTTTCTGGGATTGCCTTTGATTGTTTAAAGTGATAGCAGTCGTTTTATTTTTCTGGTGACTTCTTTTTGGCAAATGGATATTTCCTTAGTTGTGTTCCTAATTGGTCAGGGGTTGAGATGGTACACAAGGCGCCTTAGAATAGACGAAGATGGAGATGTTGCAGATGAGTTCCTTGATGAGGTGTCACCAGATACATCAACGAGCATGGAAGAAAATGATCGACCGTTACCAAGATTTCAAGTCAAGTACAGCACTAAACCTGCTAAAGTGAAGAATCTTGCACTATTACCCAATGGTAAAATTCAACATCTCGTGGAGTACCAGGGCAAGCTGGAGTGGATGTAAAAATGACCCTTTTGAGAAGCAATCAGTCAATTTATCGGACTGGTTTCTTTCATTGTCTTGATGGTGGCCCAAATTTGTCTTAACACTTACTTTGCTGTATTACGAGACGTTTAGGGGTAACTGTGGATCTGCTGTTTGTGGATATTCTTCTTTAATATTGTCTCGTCTGATTAAAGTTCTTCAGTTTCCGAGGCAATGCGCCCCAAAATTGTAACTTCAAATTCCATATATATTTCTATACAGGCCATTGAAAGACGAATATCAATTTTTACATGTTATGTCGTTTTTGTTTAATTGCTCTGTGTCGTTTAATGTGTCTCTGGACGTATGTTTTTGAACAACGATTCGAGTAAAATGCCTTCGTAAATTTTCTGTTGTGCTTTCGTCTTACGTATTACAGAAACTAATAATTAGAAACCATCAAATAAGCCAAACACGAAGCTGAAATCTTGTTGTATATGTCGATTATTTCCGTGCTTATATATATGATGTGTAGTGAATATTCTTGTTAAAGAAATCAACAAAATAAAACATCCAAGTAATTAGTCCTTCATACTGTTTATGACTGATTACCAAAGAAAGAAAGAAAATAAATAAATAATTAGGCTTCTTAAAACTATAGATCACCCTTCCCTCAGTTACAAATGTCACAATTAATAGAATTTAGACAAACCAAAACACGAAAAAATAGGTGTCCACAATTATTCTTATTTAATTTTTTCGGTGTCTAAATTATCAGCAATGTCGATCAACAGCTTAGCATAATTCCTAGCCACTTGATTCCTCGCCGAAATCTCAGGATCAGCCTCCTTCTCCACGGCCTCAACACAGCCATTGATATACTCGCCGATGACCTCACCATCCAATCCTGCAATAGCCGATTCTTGAGAAGCGTCGGACATAATATTCGTAATATAACCAGCTACATCCTCGTAAGCAGACAGGCAATCCTCTAATACAGGAATAAGTGCCGGTTTCGTCTTCATGTCATCGTACATGTCTTGAAGTATTGAGAGTGTCTTGCATATGAAAGCTGAGGTGGAATTTGTGGCGACTTCTAGAAGAGGGATTAAATCGTCCGGTTTTGTGTTTGAGACGTAGGGGTTTTTGAGGACTCTTAAGCAGAAGGGTTTGTCGACGTTCAATCGTTTGTGGAGGCAGAAGTTGTTGACAGTTTGGTATGGAATCGGGTTGCTGTTGTTGTTAGGGGCATTTTGGGCATTTGTTGGTGTAAGAATGAGGGGGAGAGAGAAGAGAAGTGTTGTTAGAGAGAAAAGGAGTGTGTTTGTTGAAGATGGAGTAGCCATTTTTTTTTTTTTTTGTTCTTTTAATTTCTTGACATGACTTCTTTAGAGGGAATTTATAGTCTGGTATTGGTTTAATTTATTTTCTTGAAATGAATGCAGGTGTTATGTAATGAATATGTTACAACTCTTTAATCTTTAAATGTGGGGTTTGTAACTTTCAATTAATTTAAGCTCGTTAATGAACGTTTTAAACTTTGTTTCACTGATTTCGATCGGAATTTCTCGTAAAATTTTGAAACAATTTTTTTCAACGCAATCGGAAACTTCACAAGAAACCCACAAACCCCGTTTTGTAAATGATACACCCGTTGAAATACACGACACTCGCAGTATGTATATTACATTTTTTAAATCAATGCATAACATCATAATGAAATCAAGAAATAAACACCTTTTTCCAGATGTATGAAAGAGTTAATTACACAAAGAATACCAGTTCATGACTTACACATCAATAATGGAGCAGGTTAAATTTGGGGGGAAATCACAAAAGTAAGAACAAAAGGAACATTTTCCCCCATCATCACAATTACACATAAACCCTACCCTTCACTGCTTCATAAAATAATAGCACAAAGAAAAGAAAGACAAAATCGATCCAAGAAACAAGCAAGAAAAGAACCGAATAACAAATTGTAACCTAAACTGGTAAAAAAAGAAAAAAATTAACCACACTTTCGCCCGGATTTTAATATAATACCCCACTTTGTTTCCATCCAAATCGTAAATTCAACACAAACTCCATTCAACTTTAGCAATTCGCTTCACAACTCATTGATACCCTTCTTTTGGAGTGGAGAAACTCCCTTCGTTCGCAATTTCCCAGCTCCCACTTCTCCCCCAACTTGAATGCCTAGTGTCCGATTGGTTATTAGGGTTAGGGTTCCGCCTATCGGAACCCAAGACAGAATCAGCTTCAGACAAGTTGTGGTGGGGCCCACCATCGCTGCCTCTACTACGAATATCCGCTTCGATATCTTCGATATTATGACGCTGCGAAATCTTCAAAAGATCACCGCCAATGTCTAAATCATCCTCCACCTTCATTCTCCGGTCATCTCCACCTACATCCTCTGTTTCAGAGTCTCGGGTGGTAGGCATAGGCGGCCTTTGGGGTTCGTCTTGTACGAGAGCTCGGAAGTTGTTCTTTGAAGGCTTCACCTCAGTACAGAATACTTCGAAGAAATTGTTTAGACATCCACGGTCGTAAACGTTGATCCTGTTGTCTGCTCTGTAACGGAAATTCTCGTAGGTTGTCTGCAAATCAATGACCAAAAATGGTGACAAGTCAGAAACTCTTTTTAAACATTCCGACACATGATAATATATACATATATATACGCAATATAAGTAACACAGCCTCACAACCAGATAAAAAGAAGCATACCTGATTTGTGCTTATTAAATAAAGGTGAAATCCAGTGAGTCCACCGACAAACCACAGGGATATGAAGCAATAGACCATCAGAACTACGGCTGCAGGAGATTCCTTCAATGCTTTCCACACAGTTCCATGATGATCGTCCATCAGAATCTTGATGTACAGAGCACATATTGAAAACACATAGATGCAGAGAAGTGTCGCCGAAGAAACAAAGAAGAAGAAAAAACGGTAGTTTCGCTGCAAATTCAGTACAAAAAAATGAAAAACAATGGGAATGGACGTACAAAATGGAAATATGATATATCATGAAAATATCGTACCATTCCTATGCACTGGCCCACCCAAGGGCAGTGATGGTCAAAACGCTCCACGCAGTTGTTGCAAATGGAGCAGTGTGAGCAACGAGGAGGGCGATATAGCATACAGGTGTCACAGTATTTAACTCTAACAGGAAGCCCATTAACCATTACTTCTTTAGTTCGAGGGAACTGGAGGCTTGGTGTTTGCCGCCCGCCAACCTCCACAGATGCTGACGTGTCATAACGGAATTCTTCTTCTGGTGGGTGTAAATTACGGGGTACAATTCCTGGATCTCGAGCTGAAGTGAAAAGCAGCAGCACCAAAACCTACCAATATCAATCGAGTTTTTTTTATAAGCCACAATGTTTTTTTTTTTTTTGCAATGATACAAATGAGCCTCCATGAAGAATCGCATAAATAAGAGCTGAAATAGAAATACTGGTGCAAAAGATAAAAGGTATACATATGTGGGAGTCCAGAAAGAGCTATATGGTATGGTATGATTGAACATTCAATAAGTTATAACGGAAATATCTCCAAAAGATTATATTCAAGAAAAATAACATAGGCACAAAAGGAAGGTAGTTATGAAGTGTATTGTTAACATATATCTTATATAATGTGTTTATCCCCGGCGCCATGTGGGTCACTGAATTTCACCATATATAACTACATATATACTGCATTCTCCGAGATACAACAATATAAACTATTTATACCGGAAATACCACTATTTGTCTGCTTTCATCATTGATATGTATTAGAAATTATTATACAACATTTTAGCTTGTAATTTGATGAAAAAGAGAGGACAAAACGCATGATGGCAATTGGCAGGTGACATAGAGCATTCTGGTGAAATTTAACTTAAACTGTTATTTCAAGAAAGTGCTCCAATAGAAGTAAGTAAAAGTGGGAAAGTGTTTTAAAGTTAATATTGCTTGTGAAGAGCCAGATGATTGGTTGAAAGAAACTACAGGAATATGCATTCATCAGCTAACAATTTAAAGCAATGCAAAGAAAAGGGAATTCAGGAACTAACATGAATGGTGAAGAGAATAGCGACTATCATGATTGCATATCCTGCGTTGTAGGATGAAAACTCATGGCGAAGATGCCTTGCAACAAAAACACAAAAGATGATGACTGGGACGATGAGTAACAGTAACGTGACAAGCAATGACCTTGCATCAGGGCCAAAAATCAACCTCCCACCTACAAAAAAGATCTGCAAAAGATACATGTTAAATATGTAGTAACGTTAATATATAGCAGAATTAGCATAAGTTTTACTAAAATAACGTATAACTCAACAGTTTGAGATAATGTTTATAGTTGAAGGTTAGTCCTGTTACATTGTTCACTTATCAAATTGCATGGATACGCATGCATGACACCTTCCATACACACATTTCGCGACACCCAAAGATAAAGTGACGGAGAGAGAGAGAGATATATAGAGAATTACTAAACTTTAGGAAACATGTCTGTAATAATGATTCTCGGGTATCAAGATTACAAAGCAGCCAATTGGTTGCATCAATTACTTATATATTTCCCTTTGTGGTCAAAGTACGGTCTCAAATTACCTTTCCTACGGTGGAAAACTTAAGCGGTAGGTATTTGCTAAAATGACAAGTAAGCCTAAGTAATATCATACTTATACTATATTTGACAATAGTAACAGCCGAGTGTCGACATGCTACATCCGATGAGGTGCTGTCTTCATCGATTCGATATTGAAAATGAAAAGTCACTACAGCACAATAACTTAATCAAAATTTGTGCATTCCTAAACAGTCAAACTTCCAAAACTTGGAACTTCTGAAACTTCCAAAGTTGTCAAAGCAAGGTATCGCGTAAGAATAAATCCATCATAGGCAAAAAGAGAGATCCATATAATCCCGGTCACAGATATTTTGTACCAAATCTGAGATTTATTCATCATAAAGATCCAAAAGGATTTCCATTCCACCATCTATAGTACATAAGACTTGACTCCAATTATGCTATGCCACAGCTCACGTGCATGAAATACAGAAATAATTTCCTGCAAGCATGTAAAACCTAGTACACTATATTAATTTATTTAATTGTAGTAGAGTCAAGGCGATGTTTTATTTATTCCTGTTTGTATTGCATTCATACACAAGTAACTATATCTCATTCTTAAAATTGTATTATATGCAATCTGAAACATTATTCAGGTCCACCACAATTTTCCAGACATAATTTCCGAAAAATCAAACATGGAAATAAATTACTGTCTGTTTCTTTCATTCGTAAACTTGTAAATGACCGCTTCTACATTTCCATTATTCTATCAGCTTTTAGTTCAAAAATAACTTCAAAACACGTAGAAATGGTTGCTTTAATTCAGAAAGAGAGAGTTTTCCAAGAGGTTAAAAGGATTCACCAAAATATCTTACTAAACATGCCTGCCTATCACTTTATCCTACCAAACGAGTTAGTAGAGCCCCCGACTAATGGATATACCACTGAAAATTTAAAACCAACTTGAAGACACGTCCATCGGTTACTTTTTGCATATACTAGAGGAACATATTACAAGGCAGACAATATTTATACATGCAGTGCGAACTTTTTAATCAGTTTAATCTAATAGTTTCTCTAATCTTCGTGAACAAATTGCATTTGATGCTTCTAAAAATTGAAATTAAAGGAAAAGACAACTAGGGAAATTATCATTACGAAGAATCGAGATCAAGGATATAATTTGTCTCGAACAAGTGTGGCCAAAAAGAACATTAAAAATCAACTGATATTCTACATTACCAGGTACATATTTAATCCAGTAACACTACGATTTGAAAAATAAGTTTAGGTACAGCAAAACACGAAAGTAACGTAGCAACCAACTAATTAAAACCCTAGCTTCAGACACACAAAAGAATAGGCACAAAAAAAATCTTCTACCCTAGTTGTAAAGCTATACTAAAATAACAACTACCCAATTAATCTTCACATAAATGAAAGAAAAATTGAACGAAAACAATCGAAAAATCCATCTCGGCCCCCCTTCGAAGTACAAACACCTACGAATTATCTTGACTAAAATGAAGTAAATAAGTCCAAAAAAATCCATTGCCTTTAGTCCTTCTAAACAAAAAAATCATACAACCCTAGTCTATAAACACCCGCAGCGAATCAAGCTTAACAGAAAGCATAACGAAAAAACCCACAAAAAAATAAGACAGAAAAATACAAAAATTATAAACTCCAAAAAGGGGAATAACGAATCTCACATTGTTACCCTTCCAAACTTGGTGCACGCGCTTAGCCATTCAGCAACAAAAGTACCACCAACCAAGAGAAACCCCAGAAGAAGAAGAAAAAAAAACACCTCTTTCCGCTACCCTGGAAACGAATCGAAGAATTTAAACTTGCAGATACTGTTCATCTCATACAACAGCGACGGAAATTTCTTTAATTTGTAAATTCCAGCAATTAATTAGTATGCCCGTAATTAATTGTAGGGGGGGCTGAGTTTGAAAAAAAAAATGCAGCGAATTTAAGATGGGATTCTAGGGATTTTGAAAATATGAAAAGGGGAGAAAGAGGGTCTTCGTCTTCGCCTTTTTTTTTTGTGATCTGGTGATTTACAGAGTGGAGGGAGGTTTTGGAGTTTTCAGAAAGGGAAATAAAGTAATTATACTGAATTTGCTATTATTTTAATTTTGGAATGTTTTTTTGGGAAATTGTTAATTAACCCCCATTATTTATATTTAAATTATATTATCTAAATAATATTTGTTTAATTTATTTTCTAGTGCGCTGGTATTTATTTTAATGACAATTAACTAACGCTACTAATTAAATTATTGAATTTCATCAACCTTTTTTTAAAGTCGGTAATTAATACTCGATAAATGAATTCGTATATAATTGCAATTAGTAGGATTTGAATTTTGAAATTTATACATTTGAATTTTAGCCGGTCGAATAAGACTTTTTTCGATAACAACTTCGGGGTTTATTTTTAATTTATCTTAGTAGAAAAAAGGTCGATACTATATCAGGTGAAATGTACTTGATAGTTTTTGATAAGAAATTAACAATATGAATAATTATACATGGACAAAAATGTAAAAAATTTAATAATAAAGATTGATGCAATTGGGAAATTTTAAAGTGATGAACGAAATAATTGCAAAATTGCTGTTTTGGTTAATTTGTAATAATTAATTGTAGTTGTTGAATCCATGTCTACAACTATGTCTTATTTTCCACAATAATACTGTTCTAAAGTCTACAATGTCTAAATCACGTGCTACTATTGAGGAAAAATCTAAGTTCAAATTGTATCGGAATTTTTTGGGACGTTTCCATAAATATTTGAAAGGTTTGAGAATATTTCTCGTAATAATATAAAAATGGAAACATGTAATAATAAAGATATTTATGCCCCGAATGTAGTTTGTTGAATGATAATTTTGGAACTTGTAAGTTATATATAATTTGTAGATACAAATATGTAATCGACGATAAGTATATAAGTTAAACGTAACTCCATAATATTTTTTAAAATTTATGGATGTATTCCTATAGTTTTAATATTCACACGTTTCCGGTTTCCCCATGTTTTCGTATCCAACTTTTTTTGAAAAATAGGGTTTCTCCACGTCCGTTTTTACATTTCACCGTATCAACATTTTTGTATCCGTGCTACATAGATTAGTATGCAATGTAATAGTAGACTTATAGTCTTTTACTTATCAAAATAAATAAATAAAAAAGACTTGTAGTCTTTTTATTTCTCTATATTTTCATTTTGACTGCTGCCATTAGGCAAAAAAGAAGGACCGGAAAGCAATTTACCTCCTTTATAAAAAGGGGTCCAGCTAGGCCTCTTATTTTATATTTATTTTTCAATAATAGATTTCAAAATTTATAAAAGTTTGAATATCTTTTCTCTCTCATAAAACTCATTGTTTTCTTTATATATTTTTTCTAGATGGTTTTAGTTAGTTAATTTACAAAGGTCTTATAATTTTATTTTTATTTTTATATTTTATAAATATTTAGGCACTTTAAAAAAAAGAATTACAAAATTTTAACATCTTATCTTAGAGAGTCTATGAATATTGAATTACATTCTTAAAAATTTCATCCAATATATAGTAACATACTTTGTTTATTATATTATATTATAATAATGCATCATATAATATACTTAATTATTACCTCACTGAAACAACCCATAATTTTTGCAAGGAACTACAGGTGGATGCAATTGGCATATTCCATCTGACTGACCATATTCCTAGTCAACCTTGTCATATACTAAACTCTATATATTTAATAAAAAAACATTATACTTGTTTGTATTAATAGTATTTAAAATATATATTTCCAATCGAAAATGACATATATATTTCAATGTTATTCCAATATATAGAGTTTTTGGCCCAAATGATGTAATGGGCCGGATAGCCCATTTCCCACCAAAGCTGCCCACCACTAGAGAGGCCCGTTGGGTACTTATAAAAGCCCAAACTTAAATTAATAAACTGATCTCATCCGTTGATCTTTGTTGTGTAATCACGATCCCTCAATATCTCACTTAAATACTCTCTTTTTCTGTCTCATCTATGATTATACCTTTATCCGCCCATCGTTTTGTCTTTTTCCTTTGTATCAGATGATTAAATGTTACTGCACCCGGCTGACTTTAGCTCTTTGGTGTTGTCTTCATCGACTACTTTTGACACGAGTCCTTAAATAGAAGGTATGAAGAGTGGAGGCGGTTAAGACATAACTAATGACCTAAACATATTTTTTTTAGGGACCAATATGCACTATATTTGTTTTATGCTGGGCAGTTAATACTATCATAGACGGAAATTTATAAATTTTATATAAAATAATAAGGATTTAAGAAATATTGGGAGAGTCATGTAACACCTTAGCTCTATGTTGTCTCCACCACTACATAAAACTAATAATCCGTTAGAACTTATTATTCAGTTAGGATTTCTAACGATGTTTCAGGGGTAATTGTAATTAACCAAACTACAAGGACCTTAAAGTTATTTTAGCATATATCAGGGGTGCAAGTGTAATTTACCATAAATAAAATAAATATATAAAAGGAAAATAAGAAAGGAAATGTTTGAGAACCGAACCGAACCGAACCGTTGACCCCTATACTCCGGTCTTCACTGCAGACAAAAAAAAATCCCAAGTCTTCATCTTTGAATAAACTCTCACCTCCACCGTTAATGGCGGCGCCTCTCCTTTTCTCAGTCAAAAAGATAATTCATTCTCCTTCTCTCTCAAACTACGCGCACACGCCCACTTGAATTTTATACCTACACATCGGCAAAATCTCTTTCTCTCTCTCCATATGTGTACAGGAAGGAGAAAAAAAATAAATAAAAAATGAACCCAACTCTGCAAGTAGTTCTCGCCGCCGCCGCCACTTTCTTCCTCGTCAGCTTAATACTCGCCTCAATGATAGTCATCTGCAAAGGCGGATCCAAACGACGCCGTAACGCCCGCTCCGTACTCCCGACCCGGACCCGGACCCGCAACCCGGGTCCACCGAAGCCCAACACCGCCCACTCCTTATCCATCGGCGAGAGCGCAACTTTCGACCCGATCCTGAACCACGTCTCCATGCAGGAGCTCATCGACGTGACCCGCAACTTCTCCCCTGACCTAATCATCGGCGACGGCAGCTTCGGGCTCGTCTACAAAGCCCGACTCAATTCCGGCCCGATCGTCGCCGTCAAGAAGCTCTCCCCCGACGCCTTCCAGGGCCTCCGCGAATTCCGGGCCGAGATGGAAACCCTCGGCAAGATCCAGAACCCGAACATAGTCAAGATTCTCGGGTACTGCGCAACGGGCCGGGATCGGGTCCTCATCTACGAGTTCGTCGAGAAGGGCAGCCTCGACCAATGGCTGTACGACACGTCATGCTCCTCCGACGAGAGCCCCGATGACGTGGAATTCAGGCCGCCCTTGTCTTGGTCCACCAGGATGAAAATCATTACAGGCGTGGCCAAAGGTCTCGCCTTTATGCACAATCTCGAAACCCCGATAATCCACAGAGACATCAAAGCCAGCAACATTTTGTTAGACGACGATTTCGAGGCCCACATTGCCGATTTCGGGCTGGCCCGAAGAATCGAGGGTGCCCACTCGCACGTGTCGACGCAGGTGGCGGGTACTATGGGGTACATGCCGCCGGAGTATCTCCACGGCGCCACCATGGCGACCGTGGTCGGAGATGTCTACAGCTTCGGGGTGTTGACTTTGGAGATACTCGCGGGACGGAGGCCGAGTTTTCCGTTCTCCGGCGACGATGGGCGGGAAGTTAGGTTGGTCGAGTGGGTTGGTCGAATGGTGGGGCAGAATCGGTATTTGGAAATGGTGGATGCTAGTATATCAAAGGATGGTCTTGACGGAAGAATTGTTGAGGAGATTTTTAGGCTTGGTTTGAAATGCGCCGACGAGAAGTGGAAAGTTAGGCCGACTATGAACGAAGTTGTCGAGGAGTTGGATAGGATTTTGGCGTGAGTTTTTCTTTCCGGTTTATAGGTTTGGCGAAATGTATCGTGTATATTGATTGATTGATTGCAATACTTGTATAAAGACGACGCCTTTAGTTGTTGTATCGTAATTTATTGTGCATTGGTGATGTTTTTTGAAGATGTAAATACATGTTATCGAGTATGAAGATAAGGTAATTTCAAGAATATATTTTGTTCGATTTTTATATTCGATCGCGTTGACGTGTCTAGACATGGCTTTTTTCATTAGTATTCGGTTCTTGAATCTTGATCGGGATTTTTGTAGCTAATTTTATCCTCTGTTTTGCTGAAATGAGATTTTCATACGTGTGTATGTTGTCTCGTTTTGAGTTTTCCGAATATTTGTTTTGTTTAGGTGTCGTTTTTCTCGATTATGATTCAGAACCAAAGTTGCATGGTTGTTCTTTCGTATTTGGCGTTTCTCCGTTTGTTTCCTACTTGCTGTTTCAACTGAATCAAAAGGTTTATTCTTCTTGATGACAGCCCTTTTCATTCTCATCACTTTTGTCTTCCTGTGCATAATTAGCACATGTTTAATGTTTGATTTATTTGTCTAATCATCAGTTAATCATATTTTCCTGTCTGGTTAATTAAGCAGCAAGGAAAATATATGTCTGATTAATTATATTGCCAGCTGGTTAGACACTGTAATGATCCAGCTATTGATCTTCTTGTGTAATCTCCAGCTAATCTTCACAATAATCTCATTATTATATTCTAGGGCCTCGTTTGGTTGCCAACATTTTGGTTGCCAACATAAGATTATATTAAAAATCCAATTAATTTATCGGATCCCGAGCTTCCAACAAAAAAACTCTCTAAAAGGTAAGATAAGCCATGACATGATAACTTAATGTTTGCGTGTCCGATCCGGCAAATGCAAATTATTATGGATACCAAATATCAAACAAAGACCAATTATTTAGTTAATAATGACTAATCTCCCCAACCAAACGAGGCCTAGTTAAATTAAGCAGCCATACGGACGTATATATGCTAATTAATTATCTGCTTGAGTTCTTTAATAGCATACAGTTGTTGAATATTTCTCAGTACTGATAACTTAGAACTGTTTGCTTGCTTCTTAAACAAACAAACACAGTTGACAATATGTATTGTGACTATATATATTCACATACAAATACGTGTACAATGCGCGGTGAGACGTACAATCGACGGACACTATCGAATATGGTGTCTGCTGAATCATTAGTTTTATTTTTATAAGTTTTTCAAATAAATTAACTATTAGTGAAGAAAATTCCGTAAAATTCGATGACTTCTGTATCCATCTATCTATCTACATTTGTCTATCGGCCTATGTAATTTTGTTATTTTTAATAGCTAAAAAAAGAAAAAAAACAAGGAAATGATTATATAATTTAATTATAAAATTCAATATGACATATATACATATACATATTTGGTTACTGTGTCATAAAAAGTAAAAACCCGAAAACCCGAAAAACCTAAACCTTATATTAATACATATTTGGTGATTGTGTGATAAAGAACGCAAGTTGGGGGCTGCGTTGTGGGGGACTGGCAGTTGGAGTTTATTTATTTATTGCCAATATGGCTATAAAATACCATTGCATGGGGGGGCTCTTTACACTAACTAAATCAACAGCTATAGATATATAGATATACACTTGTGTGTATCTCTCTCTCTCTCATGGCTTCCTCTATTTCTCTACTGTTATTGCTGTCCAGTTCCCTCCTTTTACACTCATATTTTCAGTATGCAGAAGCTCAACAAGTTGCTGATGGACTTTCATGGAGTTTCTACAATTCTTCATGTCCTAACTTGGAATCCATTGTAAGAAAACAGCTGAAAAAAGTGTTCAAGAACGACATCGGACAAGCCGCTGGATTGCTTCGTCTCCATTTCCATGATTGCTTCGTCCAGGTATGCATACATATATATACATTATTACTCTTTAGTTGATAAAAACAAGTTCTTGAAATTGCTCTTTGCATACATCATGCTTGAATATATATATATATATGTGTATGTATATGTTGAAATGCAGGGGTGTGATGGTTCGGTGCTGCTAGATGGATCGGCAAGTGGGCCGAGCGAACAGACGGCACCACCCAATTTGAGCCTGAGGGCCGAGGCCTTCAAAATCATCGACGATCTTCGAAGACGTGTGCATAAAAAGTGCGGTGGAATCGTCTCTTGTGCAGATATTCTCGCTCTCGCCTCCCGTGATTCTATTTTTCTAGTAAGTTGTTTAAATCTACGTATGCGTATTATCTTTCGAATTTTTCTTGTTTCGAGTTAGATGATTATGGATTATTACTAGTAGTTGATTCTTTAATGCACATTTATTTCGTTTCACCGGCAAACTAGCTGAGGCCCCCCAGCTGAAATCGAGTGGCCAAACGCATAGTGGTTCAAATTTATTCGATTTTCTATCAATCTTCGTAAACTATGTCTGAATTCGGTTTTAATAAGAAATCAATTCAAGCATCGAGTTGAAAACGAAATCAGCCTTGAGTAGCTGATTTTTTGTACATATTTTTTCACAATTTAAGTCAGCTTTATAACTTATCGAATGAAAATATGGGGGTTCGTTATTACAGTCTGGCGGGCCCGACTACAACGTTCCCCTAGGCCGACGCGACGGCCTCGATTTCGCCACCATCGCTGCCACGTTGGCAAACCTTCCGGCACCATCGAGCAACACCACCACCCTCCTCGAGTCTCTTGGGACCAAGGGCTTCACCGCCACCGACGTGGTGGCGCTCTCCGGCGGACACACCATCGGAATCGGCCACTGCAGCTCCTTCACCGGCCGCCTCTACCCCAACCAAGACCCCGTCATGGACAAAACATTCGCCAGAAACCTCAAAACCATTTGCCCCGCGCCCAACTCGAACAACACAACTCAACTCGACCTTCGGTCGCCAAACATATTTGACAACAAATACTACGTGGATCTAATGAACAGACAGGGGCTTTTCACCTCGGACCAGGATTTGTACCAGGATTCTCGGACAAGAGCCATCGTCACGAGTTTCGCGGCTAACCAGACGATTTTTTTCGAGAATTTTGTGACCGCTGTCGTGAAAATGTCGCAGTTGAACGTGTTGACCGGGGCGCAGGGGGAGATTCGTGCGAATTGCTCCGCTAGGAATTCGGGCAGTCTGTTGCTTTCTCCGGTGGTGGTCGCCGGAGAGGAGAAGGAGCTCCGGTCGACGGTCTAGGGGTTCTGTTCCATGTAATTGTGGTGCCGTGTCATATGTTTTTTGGCTTTGTACAAGTAATAAAACATTTTGAATACAGTGTATTTATTACCAGTTGCATAAAACAGTTACAAAAGACAGGGATTTACTTTGTGTATAGACAGACAAGAAACAGAGAGAGAAAAATGTTTCTGTACTTATGGAAACTTCAATAGAGTTGAGGAGCTACAACAACTTCATCAATCATAAAGAAAACCGGAAAAATAAATCACCCAGAGATTTGACGAGAAAGCTTATATGCAGGCTTTCGATAATCAAGAAAAACGGAATCATTCAAGATCCAAAATTCCGAAATTGGAGAGGAGGATTTTAACTTGGTCCACAAAATCGGAGCCGGTGGCATATTCTGTTAGCATTCCGATGGCAAAACCGAACATGGCCCATCTGCTCGACCAATGCCGCCAACACAGAAACAGGGTTATGTACATATAGCATATGAAAAACAGCAACCAAATCAAGAAACTACAACGAACGTTTCAGAATTACGAAAATGGTAGTCATGAATCATGATTAACTCATCAGAATAGTGGGTTTTAGTTTTAATTGATTGTTGCAAATAAAAAATTAAGGGAGTCGAGCGTATGGCTAAAAAGTATCTCAAGATTCATCGAGGAGAGTGATCGAATGAAATTATGCTAAAGCATTTAATAAATTGACTAGAGCTTCTTCTATGCAAAATTACTACAACGAATAAACATATTTTGAGCTACGCAAATTAAAGCCTACGACAATTAGAGCTAACTACACACTCGGGAAATTCACGACAGAATCGTAAAATTGATATATTTTCCAAAACTGAGAAACTAATGAACATAAATTCTTCTTTTTAAGGATAGGACGCGATTGTATAATCAAAATGTATCAAATGTTTGGGATTCAAGTTTCGAAGCTCATAACTGAAACGGGCGAATACGGACGATATTCTAAGTCCAACCCCAACCCTATTATTACACAATTCTATGAAGGCAATGATCCAATACAAAGATTGTATAATCACAAATCACAAACATAAGATAATCCCATCTTACCAGCAAGTTTACATCGAAATCATGTCCGTGTTTCTTGTTTGTTTGTTGCCTCAACTATAAGAGAAACTAGCAATTCTACAAAGTGTTTCAAATCAAGAAATCTAGTGATTCATGTCACTTAACCAAATTGTATCTGTCAAAAATGCAATATGGCCTCGTTTGGTTGCCAAGATAAGATTAAATAATCTAACGAAATATTCGATCTTCAATGATCCAATAAAAAGCATGCCTAGAAGGCGAGATGGGTCATGATAACATAATATTTGCAGGTCGAATCGGCAAATTATTGGGGATATCAAACATCAAATAAAGTCCAATTATTCACTTAGTGATGGCTAATCTCTCCAACCAAACGAGGCCTAAAGAAACGAATAATTAAAAAAATAGGGATGCTGAAAATACCTGCCATTGGAGATTTCATTCTTGGCAATGAAACCAAAGAAGGGGCCTTGATTAGCTTCCATAAGCTTCTTCTTCTTGAAATATTCTTGAAGCTCTTTCGCCTTCTGCCTCTGAAACTCCACAGTTACCACACTACTCGGTGCTGCAGCAGCAGCCTCCACCGCCGCCGTCTTGGCCGGCGGCGGTGATGGAGATGGCGGCACAGGCTTTACAGGGGCAGGAGCCACCGGTCTTCTTAAAGGGCCATCAGCTTGAGAGCTCCTAATTGTGAATTTTAAGGAGGAAGCAGAATAAGAGCAAGATTGGGTACTGCTTGAAGATGATTGGTTAGGGAGTTTGATGCATGGGAATGAAGGTGAAGATGCCACTGACATTTTTTTTTCTTTCTTTCTTTTTTTTTTATTTTTTTGTTTTTTTTTAAGGATGTAAAAGCTGAATAACAAATGTTTCTGGTTTTTGTATGGATGAAAGAGGGAGAAGATTGTGAATTAGTGATAGGTTTGGAAGTGGGGGGTTCTGTGGATATGGTGTAGCCAAGTTTCTACACTCTTTATGTGGCTACATTATTATTACATGCTGGAATTTAGTCAATTGGTGGAAATACTTTCTCAATAAAATAAATAAATAAATAAATAAAAATTGAAAGTGAAAAATTCATCCAATTATTAAAAAATAAATATTGAAAAATTACGGCCAAACCCCTGAAGTAAGATTAAATTACGAAAACTCCCTCAAGTTTGGGTAACTGCAACTACTGAGTTGGTAAATTTGACAACTTAACGGTGGACGTGTAAGATAATACATAGTTGAAGAGGTGGTTCATGGTTGTAATGACCCAAATAGGAGGCGGGTTTTCGCAATTTGACATTATATCTTAGGGGTGGAATAAAAATATATGTTGTCTAAATTTACTTGGAAAAATAAGAAAATCAACAGCAGGCAAATATAGGTTTACAGTATTATTCATATCAAATTCCATTTAATCTAGCAGGGTATAATTATTTTCATTCACAGCCAACCACTATCAATACCAAAATACAGCAACAAAGTTTTCATAGGATCTTCAAATCCCCAGATAATAAATAATTGGAATAATTACAAAAAAAATAATAATAGTAATAATAAGAAAATATGTCGAAGAGACCTACCTCTACAAAGACAAAAACCAGGAATCGTAAGCAGCATCGTTACTGCAGAAACATGAATATACATCAACTAGAGAATAGAAAAAACAATCTCACCAAAACTGGAAAGCAAGCAAGAATACGTAAGCTACAGTCTCTCGAGCTGGCTCAAATTGTTTCTACATTATCCTGCACGAGCAAGCCTTTCCATTTCCATGATCAAATTCATCGTCTGATCCATCTTCACTGCAAACACACGGAAATACTGAATTAGATTTGCACAATCCATTCCCCGGAGAGGAAAAAAAAACACTAGAAATGATAAAACATCAATTTTGGACAACTCAGCATCAAAGAAATATATTTGGATTACGGAATTAGTCACCGTTTAACGCATCAACGAACATACGGCAAATTAGTATTACAAAATTTAGTCAGAACCATAGTATAGACGCAGTTATACCGTCATACTAGCATGATTGGAACTAACACAGAAAAGGCAAATATGATATCAAGGAGCTATGTTTTTCATTTAAAATCATGCATCGTAAACTCTCGTACCTCATCTCAAATTCTCGAATCTCAAAAAGCTCGCCCCCACTTATATCCGTCCACTGCACTTTCCTCCTCTCCGTTTGAGAAGTTACAACTTCATCCTTCCCACAATCAGCAATCGGAGCACTATCTACCGATTTCTTCAAGCTACTCTTAAGACTAAATACACTCCTATCGCAATCATCATCATCATCATCATCATCATCATCATCATCATCATCATCATCATCATCCATCGTGGTCACCGAGTGTGTGATATCTTTAATCTCGTCAAAAACTACATCTGCCTGCGAAACCTCTTGATTTTCGGTGGGCCCCACTTTCAGAGGAGACGGGCTTTCGAGTCCAGTGTTAGAGCGGCCAAAGCACACGAAGGAAGCGCATGCCCCATTTTTCTTGGAAGCCAGCTGGAGATTAGGATCGGTCTCTTGGTCCACCAAGTGGTACTGACTCCAAGGTGTTACTCTCATGGGTTTTTCTTCGTTTTTCTGACCCAATAGAAGAAGGGTAAGTCCCTTACTATATCCGGATGCTGAAGACGAGAAAAACCCTCCTCCTTCTACTGCCAATAACATCGGTACTTCTCATCAGAACCACCACCTAGTTGATTTACTTTCGGCTACATATATACTTTCGTCAAAACGTTGTTATTCACCTGCCACATGCAATGATGCAATTCCCTGTCAGATATTACATTTATGGCATTTCCCGAAGATTCAAATCCATAATTCAATAAAACATAACCATTTTTTTCTGATTAGAACTTCCCAAAAATGAATGTGAATCTGTCGTTCGACTTATCCAACCCGAAAATGATTCGATGTTTTTTTTTTTGTTAGATGACTATTAACATATCCAATTACAACTTGCAAGGAAAGAATAAAGAAAAGGCGAAGGGATTCACAAATTCAACAAGAAAAAGGTTGAATTACATATATGTCATTTCCCGAAGATTCAAATCCATAATTCAATAAAACATCCACAATTTTTCTGATTATAACTTCCCCTACACCACCAAACAATGAATGTGAATCCGTGGTCCGACTTATCCAACCCGAAAATGATTCGAAATTTTTATTATTTTTCGTTAGATGTAAATTAACATATCCAAGTACAACTTGCAGGGAAATAATAAAGAAAAAAGCCAACAGGATTCACAAATTCAACAAGAAAAAGGTTGAATACTTATACTAATCACCACCAATTTGCTACTAGAAATCGAAATTCCTTCAAACAAAGCAGCAAAACTCATTAAAGTGAACAATGAATTCCTCGAACAACAACCACACTTCAATCAGAAAATCATAATTTAGTCATCGAACTGGTAAAAAAAATCGAGAATGGTGAATAGCTGCTCAAAATCAACAAACCGCACACGCATTTACAAAATAGCTGGAAAGACGCACTACGCACAGAAATAGAGATACAAGTGTGTGTGTGTGTTTGTATGTATAGATTAAGAGACGCACAGATCTACAAATCACCGAAAAGGTACCTGCATCTGCTGCAACTGATGACAAAATTATCCGGTGTGCATATATGAACAAGGTTGATTTGTGGAGTTAATTAGGGCAGGGGTATTATTGCAATTAAGAATATAAACAACTTTCTTTTCTGTATCTGTTCGATGTTTTCTGAAAAAGTGAAGTAATACAACGGAAAAATGAAAAATAGAGTAAGTGTTTGAATAATGAATTTATAAGCAATTTGTTTTTACTTGTCATATCCTCTCTAATTTCTTATTTTTCAAATTTTAAAATTATATTTAATTATTTTACCAAATATTTTGGCAGAACTTATAAGCTATTAAATATCTCAAAAGCTCATTTTAACATTTTACAACTCTCTAAGTAGTGTTTGCAAATACCCTCTAAAGAGTGTTTGCAAATGTTTTTGGAAATTTATCATAAATGAGGAGTTTTTTTTTTTTTTTTTTTTGGCTCATAACCAACTTTTTTCATTATTTACAACACCAATTTTTGCTTATATTTAAAATAATGAAACCATATATCTTACTAACTAAGGGCCCGTTTAATTGGCAAGATAAGATTAATCAAGATAATATTAAAGAATCTAATGAAATCCAATTATTATATTGGAGCTTGAAACGTCCAAAAAAAAAAAAAAAACTCATTACAAGTTAAGATAATCCATGATTGTATAATTTTGGCAGGTTGACCCGACAATTTATTGAGGATACCAAACATCAAATTATGTTCAAGTATTTAGGTAATTATGGTATATCTTAGCAACTAAACGGAACGTAATAATATGGAACTAATCTAATTCCATCTATTGGGTGGAGCAAATGAATTTATTGAGAGGAATCACACATCTTTTGAAGACCCGGCCCACTAATTTATGTAGCCGCCCGCCCATTTATCTCTTAAAAGGAAGACCCGGCCCATTAATTTATGTGCCAGCCCATTTACATATAAAAAAGAAGTCGCGGCCCAATAATTTATGTGGCCGCCCATTTACCTCTAAAAAGTAGTAAGATCCGGGATTTGGAACGGAATTTTTCATTTCTGCCTATTCTGGTCCAAAATTTTCCGATTATGGAACAATTTCGAATTTCAAAATTCCGAGTTCCAAGTTCCGATTTTTCCGAAATTATTTAGATCCGAATTGGAATATATATATATGAGATTTCGATTTCCGATTCAATTTTACGTTTGGAAATAACCGAAAATTTCATTTTTTTTTCTTCTGAATATTACACTTAAAATACCAATATCATTATGCGTCTTATATTTTAGCTGACCAAAAAATAGAAATTTTCGAATTACAACAATTACGTTCCGAAATTTTCCAATTTTGGAACAAGTTTCTTCATTCCAATTTTCGAAATTCCGATTCCGATTAATTTATCAAAGCTAATTAATCGTCAAATCTACCAACCAATTAAGCTATTGGCCGGCCATTCTTTCAACTTTTGCACACAACATAGATGCCTTACAAATAAAACAAGGTTTAATTTCTTGAAGCATCTTTTCCCTTGATCCATATATATTTATCTTCTTCACAAAGTGCTTATAAATAATATCTCACAAGTTCATTATTTATGACAAATAAATGGATGTACAAATCCTTTCCCTGGAGAGGGTTAAACCATCTTCTCCAACTCCAAACCACCTTAGAAACCACAAGCTATGCCTATTGGATCAGCTCTTCCCGGTTGCGTATGCGCCAATCGTCTTCTTCTATTCCTATACTAGTTATCGAGTTCTTGAAAAAATATCCGAGCTCAAGAAATCGTTATCGGAAACCCTATCGCGGTTTTTCCCACTTGCGGGCACTATCATAGACGATCTCTCAATCGATTGCGACGACCAAGGAGCCTCTTTCACCACCGCAAAAGTCGACTGTCGCCTAAACGACTATCTCGGAAACCCTAATCTTGAGTTGATAGCTAAGTTTCTCCCAAGCGAGATCACTACCACCGGGTTATTGTTGCCCGTGACTAACATCCAAGCAAGTGTGTTCGAGTGCGGTGGGATTGCTATCGGTGTTTACGTATCCCACAAGGTTCTCGATGGCACTGCATTAAGCACTTTCTTGAAATCTTGGGCTAGTGTTGCCAATTCGCGATTGTGGGGTTCTTTGTTCAAGAAAGGAAGGTTTATAACCAAGAGATTCGTCTTTGAGGAGCCCGCAATTGCCTCACTTAAGAAAATGGCAAACGGATTGAGTGGGCCCGGCCCGGTTACACGTGTGGGGGTCGTTTCGGGGTTTATATGGAAATGTGCAATTGCTGCATTTGAAGAGAGGTTCGGGTTGAAGAAGCCTTCTTTGCTCACACATGTGGTGAATTTGAGAAGAAGGGCTTCTCCGAATTTCTCGGAGCACTCCCTTGGCAATCTCGTCTGGGTTGCAAGCGCGAAGTGTACCACTACTAAAAGTGCGGCCGGAGAAGAGGAAGACCGCGGGCTTCCTTTTTTTCGTGGATGAAGTGCGTAAATCCATATCGAAAATCGATGGGGACTATGTGGAGAAACTGGGGGGTGGGGGGGCGATGGTGAATGGAAAAATAGGATGAAAGCGCATTTCAAAGAGATTGAAAATTTTGTTAGGTGTGAAGATCATGTGCATGGTTTTAGCATCACGAGTTGGTGTAATTTAGGTTTGTATGACGTCGATTTCGGGTGGGGGAAGCCCGTTTGGGTTACGAGCATTGATGCGAGTGGCCCGTTTTTTATGAATCTTGCTATTTTGGTTGATATGAGGTATGGTGATGGGATTGAGGCATGGGTGACTTTGGATGAACAAGAAATGGATATATTGGAACATAATCAAGAATTTGCAACTTTTGCTTTCTTGAATCCAAGGTGATGTTAGACTCTTGTAATATAAATTACATGATAAAAATCTAGGAAATATTTTCGAAAACTAGAATCTGATCGAAATTTGTAATCTAATATATGTTTCAATTTCATTAAAAATTAATCGAAAAAATTGGGATTGATAATTCGGAATACGAAATAAAATATTATTTCATTATTGAAAGCAGTGATTAGTGATGAACAAAATTCGGCCCGGGCCCGTCGGCCCGCGGTCAGACCGCAACCCAGGCCCAATTTTCACAGTTAGGGTGAAATGTATTATATACTATTGTTATATTTTCTCTAAAAAAATATAGTAAAATACAATTGTTATATTATAATCTAATAATATTAAAATTATGAAACAATTAAGTACTAATTGTGACCAATCATCACTGATTTTTCTGAACTGGCAACCGTCCGATCCAGCACAGACACGAAATTGGGGAAAAACAAATATAATAATAAATAGGGTAAATTACAACCACCTCCTTGAGATAAAGTTAATTTACTAAAAGAACCCCAGATTTGTTATCAATCACATCTAGACTCCTGTAGTTTGTAAATTTCTTAATCCACCCCCTACCAAATGGGTGTTAATGTAAGAAATTTACAATATAAAATTATGAAAATATAGGGTTTAGTTCGTAAATATATCTTACCGCAGGGGGACGGTTGTAATTTACCATAATAAATAAAGAAATAAAGTTCAGATCGGCAGTATCGTAGCCGTTAAAAAGTCGACCAGAGCAATTTACCGACGTCATTCTCCAACAAAAGTCTGATGTTCCGTAAAATCGTCGTCGGCGCAGATCGCAGACGGAAAACTGTTCCCTAATTTATTTATTTTTTTCCGAAACGATGAGATGAAAATTTTGCAGAGTTCCTGCATTTTACACGTTGTAAATCGCCGCCGGTTTTAAATGGGATTTCGCCGTCGCCTGAATCCCCTCTCGAATCTACTGATTTTAGCTTATTTAGTCCGGTTCGCTAATCATTTTTCCTTTGCTTATGGAAAATCTAATGGCACCCAGGATTCTGTCACCCCCATCAATCACGATCTTTACCATACCAGGTAAAAATCATACCTTTTTTTTTTAATTGGCTCGAATTTTCATGATTTGATCCATATTCGTGTTGCTGATTTTCCGGTGTCGTTGTGATTAATTATCCGACGTTGCTTGAGATACAATTAATCTTTGGATAGGAATTTGTGTTGCAATTACTGTTGGTTTGACCGTGTGACTGGTGTTGGAACTATCATGCGAATTTCCAAATGAATGTTTCTTCTATTTGTGTCGTATAGTAATGGGATTATGAACAACCATGAAGATCTAATCTAATGGAAGTCGAAACTCGGAAAAAGTACAATGCTGCTTGGGTTCCAAGAGCAGCCAAATTGCTAAGAAACTACTTTTATGTTGTCAAATTTCCCTATATTGTACCAGAGGTCCAGAGTCGTATATTTCTTCGATCGTTTTTTTGCTTCTTTTGCGTTGTATTTGTATTCGTTGTCCCAAATTTATCCGTCTTATGAAACTGATTATTGCTATTTTTAAATTCTTTGCAGCGGAGCTCTGTTGGAGGAAATCGAGTCATTGGTTCATCGTCACCCAGATAAGCTCTCGGTGAGTATTGTGTTCTAATTAATGTTTTTTCGTCTGTTTCTCTTTTTAATTGTTTGCTACTTAAAACAGATTGAGAAAATTTCCGGCAAGAATAAGGGCTACGAGGCAGAGATGACTGTAGTTACTTATTGCCGCAATAGGAAAGAGAACGACGATAGGACAAAGCTTAGGATTCTACTTGTAAGTACATCTTTACTAACCTTGTATAATCATTTTCATTTTAAAGATTTTTTTTTCTTCGTATTCTTGTTTCCCTTTTATGGGTAGAGAAAAGGGGATGGATGTAATTTCATCCCTAACATTTCTAAGTTCAGGTTATGGTGCAGGTATTTGAATTACTTAGTGTGCTAAGATTCTCAGGTTGGTTATTGCTGGTGTTTTTGACAGATGATTACTTGTATTCCAGACTTTTGGACAGCATGCTAGGGAGCTTATTACGACCGAGCTAGCTTTGCGGCTCCTTTCCATTCTAAGTGAAGAAGAGTTTTTACCCAGTGTGGACCGCTCTACTTTAAATAGGACACTTGATAGGCTTGTTATAAAGGTAATTTCTTATCTAATGATTCTTTTCTTATAATATTTACACGTGTAGAATTGAGGAAATGTGTGATTACGTTGGAGATATATTGTCCTTAAACCTCTCATTTGCACAGTGAATATAGATGATGATGTACGCATAAGCATATCTTTCTGGAACTTTTACGGCTAGAATGCTAAGTTATCCTTGACTTGCAGTTTATGCACAAAATCTTGCTAGTTTCAATATTTATGCGGAAATGCTATAACTAAATAATGTTAGTTAAAAGGAAAAAAAAAACTTAGCTGGATTAAGCGGTAAGGTAATATAAAGGCATAAATGGTTAAGAGTAGTAAAAGGGTTTATTTTGTCAGTGGATACATGTAAATTTGAGAACTAATATTCTCCCAACTTCTATCGGACAGGTTGTACCAGTGGAAAATTTGAATGGCCGGAAACTTGTTGAAGATGGGGAGCTTTGCGAGAGAAGAAATGGTCAATAACAAATATCTCTACTTTTATCGTAAAATGCAAAATTGGTTCTCATAAAAATTCAAGATGTTCAAAAAGTTTCAGTTTCTTGCAGGTAGAGGAGTTGATCTCAATAGGAATTGGGCTGTAGATTGGGGCAAGAAGGAGAAGGTATTTATGCATTTTCGTTGGGTAGTGACAAAGTTAGACCTAATTCAACATCACATAGCCTCGTTTCTATCAATTGACTCCTGCCTTATGAGCATTTCATCCTCTTCTTTTTTGTCCTTCGTTAACTCGCTTTAAGAACTTTGATGGCTCCACCAGAATGCTTTGGTAGATGGAACGCTTTTTATTCAATTTGTGTTCGTATTTGTTTTATTTTTTATCGTTTCAGGCAATTAAGATTAATCTTATTTGTCTCAGGATTATGATCCGTATGAAGAAAATCCCGGGACCGGTCCTTTCAGTGAGCCCGAGACTCAAATCATGCGGAAGTTGTCTGTATCATTTGAACCACACATTTGGGTTAATGTACATTCTGGGATGGAGGTAAGCTAACGATTTATTTATGAATACTAACCAGTTCTAATGACTGTATTATATTCTCTCACAAATGTTTCACTTAAATTCAGTTTTAGCTACTTTACATGCTTTACTTATTTTTGCATCTCTGATGGATACCTACATCTCGTAACTTGACTATATCTTTTCCTTCTGTTCTTTTTCCCCCCCTCTGTTTAGGCTTTATTTATGCCGTATGATCACAAAAATACGACTCCAGAAGGAATACCATCCAAGATAATGAAATCAATGCTCGAAAAGTTGAACCATTTTCACCTCAAAGATCATTGCTTAATTGGATCCGGTGGAGGCTCTGTCGGGTATGTTATACTTTGAATACATCTTACTACTTTGATTTACTCTTCAAAAGATCTCCTGTGCATACATGTCTCTTAAGATCTAGCTAGCTACGTATTGCAGTCATTTTCCATACTCTTTAGTCACGTATAATATTTTCTACGTTAAGCTTATACTGCACGAGTCGCGGATTGTACTAAATTATCTGGAATAAGTGTAAATCATCTGGATTGTACTAATTCTTGTATCATTTATGTATAGATATCTGGCCCATGGGACAGCCACAGATTATATGTACGACATTGCAAGAGTGCCCATGGCTTATACTTTCGAGGTTCGTGAATACCTTATTGCTAATCTCAATGTATTTGCTGCTTATGTCGGGCCCCCCCTAATATCCTCATGCACATTACTTCACAGATTTACGGAGATCTAAAGGCCTCCTCAAGAGACTGTTTCAAAATGTTCAATCCAATCGACATCACCTCCTTCAACGTACGTCAAATCAATCTAAAATACACTTTTTTTTTGCCTTTCTCAATAACCACCTTAAAAATGACTGATCTTTTTTGAACGACAGAGCGTGCTCAATGATTGGTCGGCTGCATTCTTCCAGATGTTTACCATAGGCGTGCAGCAGATGAACGGACTTCAGCCGAAGGCAATTGGTTCCAGCTTCGACAATTGGGTGTCGATAGATGATTATCTCAACGGATATCTAATGCACAGGAAAAGTAGGTACGGTAAGAAGATGGAGGTTCTTGATCTCGGGTTGCAGGAAATTAGAACGTATTTCAGATTATTCTTGTTATCGTCTGTGCTGCTGCTGTTCATGTTTTGCTCTAGAATTTCCAAGAGCACTAGGCCTATTGTTTCTGCCATGGCTCTCTGATCTAAGGGCTATATTTTGATTCAGTGGATTTTTTTTTTTTTTTTTTTTTTTAATTTATTATTTTTTGTGGGATGAGGGAGGAGTAATTTTTCCACGTGTATATTATATTCTTTGATAATATACAAATTGTTGAGGTTTTAAAGTGTCCTTTTTTTTTTTCATTCTTTCTGTACATTCAGCCTTGAAGAACTTTGTAGTAGAATCTGCCAAGTAGGATATATGATACATAATTGAAATTATTTAACTAAGATACATAATCTGTGTTTTCTAAAACAGTTACAATAATTTGAATCATCTAAAACACTCAAACTTATTTTACAATTTCTAACAATAATTGATATATTTCGAATTAAAAAAAAATTGTCACTAATTTCACATGCTATTTTCACTTAACATTATGTATCAGTATCACACAAATACAATATTGTGTTGTAAGAACTCTAATAGAATCAAAATGGAACTTCTCAGTCCCTCAAATTAGTGATCAATAATAAACGATAAGGATTTTTTATTACATTTATCGACAAATACGAAAAAGTTATAATTTAAGTGTAGATTTCATGTATCTTAAAGCAGATCTTAACATTGCTCTAGCTTTTCTGTCAGGGGCACATCCAGAGAGAAGCATTTCTTCGAAAACCGCAGGAACCTGAAATCGGACAACAACAGGTTAAATTCGAAAGTAATAAATCGATACAATTTTCGTAATTTACGAAGTTAATTAAATCGCCTTCTCCAAATTTGCGAACGGAATATCAGCAAAAGCGTAGCATTTTTTTTTGGTTATTTGACATACATAAAGTTAAGATTGCAGCACAAAAACCCACAAATTTATCGAGTTCGTTCTTATTTACAAATATATAAACCCACACTATATGTTCCAAAACGAGCACCGAAGGTGAAAATGTACCTTTTCATATTTCTCCACACGAATCAACGCTTTCATGAGAGTGGTGTAAGTAACAACATCCGGTTTCAAATCCTGCAGTTACGCAACAACACACGGGCGTTTGGATCAAGACTATATTTTTTAAAACACTACAAACAAATATATATATATATATTTTTAAGACGCGTTCGCTCACATTGTCCTTCATGTACTGCAAAACGGCAAACGCCTCAGAATCTCTTCGATCCTCCCCAAAAGCATTAACTAACGAATTCATAGCTAATATGCTCGGTTTCAAACCGTCCCCTCTCATAACCCTAAACGCATTTACCGCTTGCTCGGACAATCCCTTCAAAACAAAAACAACATTCTTAAGTTAAACAAACAAATTACTGTTTTTCAAAAAAAAAAATAAAAAAGTTTTCGAGTTTCGGACAATTATACCCTTTGCGCATAAGCATTGATCAAAGCATTATACATAGTCGAAGAAGGTTTCAACCCAACCGATTTCATCGCCTCGAGGCACTCAATCGCATCGTTAAACCTCCCCGATTTCCCGTATATATCAACGAGCGTCGTATAAGTCACAACATTAGGCAACAACCCTTCACTCTGCATCTTCCCCAACAACTCCCTCACCTCTTCCCACCTCTCCTGCACACCAAGAGCATTAATCATTATATTATAAGTCGTCGTGCAAGGCACGCACCCACTCTCCCTCATCTCCTCGAACAACTCCTCCGATTTACCAAAACGGCCTTGCTTGCAGTGGCAATCTATAAGCGTATTCCACGTCACCGTATCCGGCTCAATCCCCTCAGATTTCATCCTCCTAAAAGTCGATATCATATGATCGAGACAATTGTACTTCCCAAACGTATCCATCATCACATTATAAAACTGCCGATCGGGTACCACCCCGCAATTCTTCATCTCCTTTAGAACTTGAAACGACCTTTGCCACTCTCCCCTATCTCTATAACTAGCCAATATCCGGCTAAAAACGTACGAATTGGGCTTCACATCATTCGCCTCCATTTCCTTCAACACTATCCTAGCACTCTCCCATCTCCCCGCGTTTCCATAGGCATCGATTAGCAAACTATAGGTATGCTCATCGGGCAAAACCCCGCTCTTTTCCATCTCCGAAACAACATATTCAGCATCCTTCAAAGCTCCCACTTTCACATACCCTTTCAAAAGAGCGTTATAGGCTCTTGTCCTCGGCTTTAAACCGCCCTCTTTCAACTCCTCGAAAACCGCCTCAGCTTCTTCGACTCTACCCAAAATCCCCAACTCATTCACCACGGAAACAACTGTGCTTGTTTTAGGGCTCAGCCCACTCCCCTGCATCACACCAAGAAAGTACAGAGCCCTGTCTATATCCCCTGCTTTGGCGAATCCCGCGATCATATCGTTCGACAGCTGTCCGTCTAGCTCAATCCTGTCGGCCTCGATTTCGCCGTACAATTTCTCCAGTATAGCAACGTCCACAATGTTGTTCCTCATTAGGGATTGAATGACCAGGCTGTAATTGACGAAATCGGATTGGTACCCGTCTCGCCGCATTCTCTCCATCAAATTCAAGGCCTTTTCGAGGTCGCCGTTTCTGGCGCAAGCCCCAATTAGGGCATTGTAGGTCAGAGGGGTTAAACTCTGCCGCTGGGAGAGGAGAAAAGCTTCGTACAGCTGCTCGTTCCGCCCCAGCGCGTGAATCAGAATCGAGTAGAGGAGCTCGTAGGAGAAGCAGAGGTTGTGCCGTTGAAGCCAAGTGACTAAGGAATATGCGGTGGAAAATGAGGCAGGGGTTGAAGAGAGGTTTTTTATGAGGGAGTGCCAGAGTGGGGCCGGGACGGCGCCGTACGATTCGGCGAGGCGGAGCTCGGCCGGGTCGAGCCTGGACGGCGGGTCGGGTTGGGAGGGTTCGGACGGGTTGTAATTGGTGGTGGAGAGGAAGGTGAGGAGTGGGGTGAAGTCGTAGTTGGGGTTGGGGAGTGAAGCGACGTCGTATGGGTCTTGTTCGTCTTCGTTGATTGTTTTGATGTTGAGTTGTTGGGAGGCGGCGGATAGTAGGAAGTACTGGCGGTGGCGGAGGAATTGCGGCGGAGGGGAGAAGTGGAGGGGAGGGAGGCGGATGTGGAGCGGTGGCGGAGGGAGGAGCAGCGTGTTCATTATTTTTTTCCTCGGTGCAAAATTCAGTTTATCGGTTATCTCCTATTTTTTCCTTGGATACAGATATTTTTTGGGGGGGATTGTGTAAATATTAATAGTTAATAAAATATCGGGTGTAAAATATATATGAAAACTATTTTAATATTTATTAAATAGAGGGGCTCTTTTGCAATTTCGAATGTCGAAAAATCTCATTTAAACCCTCCTATAAATCAGAAACACGACTCGCTAATCAACGAGTTCAAAGGAAAACGCAATATACGTCGCCGGAACCCTAAACCGCCGGCTGTTAGGTTGAAACGCGCCGCCAATGCTGGTTGAGTTCTTGTAACCGGAATTTAGAGCTGAGATTAACAAGTCAGATATGGGAGGCTCTAGGCTTCAGCAAAACAAGTCGCACAAGACTCGGTTCGCTTCAAAATCTTCCCGCAATGTTCACAAAATTTCTTCTGAAGGTAATTCTTCGTGTAATTTTCATCGAAAGTTCGTCGTCTGCAGTTTATTTGAATATATCTGTTGCAATTTTTTTAATGATTCCACGTTTTTCTCAATCAGATAAAACCAAGGGGGCAAAACCTGAACGCAATTTTGCTAAAGGAGCGAAGGCTTCTCGGATGCAGCGTAATGAAATGGTAAATTAAGCGCAACTGCATATTCACGTTCTTTTAATTTGTGCTTGTTGGGTAAGAGATTTGTACAAGAACCAGTAGTAAATTACGTAGATTAATTGTAAGTCCACTCATGAATGAATTTCGGGGTTTTCCGGATTAGCATTTGAATGTAATTTTGCGACTTGTAGATTAGGAAAGAGAAGAGAGCGGCTATTATGAAAGAGAAGAGGGCATTATCAGGACCGTCGAGTCCTCCACGCGTTATTGTAAGTTTGCTTTCCAGTCTTGTTAAAGCAAAAGAATTAGCCGAGTATGTTTTTCTTATAGTTGTGTTGATATTGTAGGTTCTTTTCGGCCTTTCAGCTGGTGTAAACTTGAACTCTCTTGAAAAAGATATTCAATCCTTGTTGTTTGAAGAAGGAAACAGTACAATTTTTCCAGCTATTGCATCACCAGAGTACAAGATGAGAGCTACGGTACATACATAAAAATTCGTCTAGATTCATATTGTCATCAGTTTCCCTTCTATTCCCAACTAGTTACATACAACATTTCATTTTAAATTATTTCTCATTGTTTTTCACCGATTTCTTGTAAATACAGTATATATAGTGATAATCATTTCCATTATGCCAATTTGAAGAGAATTTTTTTTTTCTTTGAACTCATATTGTCTGTAACAGGTCTTAAAAGCACCTCATGGTGATTTGTTGACGTGCATGGAAATGGCAAAGGTACTTTATTGGTTCATTTTAGTTTTATGGATTGCGTGTTCCTTGTGTTGCAATTATTTCTGTTTTTTTACACATTCCTTGTCTTTGTACTTATGGACTCATGTTAATTGTAGGTTGCCGATTTGCTTGCTTTCGTGGCATCTCCGAATTCCTTGAATGAAGCAGATGATACTGATAATTTGATTGATTCATTTGGATCACAATGTCTTTCTGTATTTAGAGCAATTGGGCTACCGAGCACCACGGTGCTGCTTCGTGTAAGTAATCTTTCCTATGCGGTCATTTGTTTGTTTGTCGTTCTTTTTTTTTTCCCAAGAAGATTAGGAGTAAATCTTCTATTATGTTTTTAGGATCTACCTGACGACTTGAAAAGAAAACATGAAGTGAAGAAGCTGTACATGTCTACACTTGCTTCTGAATTTCCAGAGGATTGTAAGTTTTATCCTGCTGATAAAAAGGATGAATTGCATAAGGTAAATCCGTTACCCCATAATTTGTTAGACCCTTTTGACTAAGAACATGATCACAGAAAAAAGTATATTTGCCATTCTCCAATCAATCACCACATTCTATTACTGGCTTCTGATTATATTTTCTGATTTAATTGTTGGTCATAGTTCATGTGGCTTTTCAAGGAGCAAAGGCTAAAAGCACCTCATTGGAGAAACCAAAGATCTTATCTCATGTCTCAAAAGGTATACTTAAGCAGCATCTTATCTTCTATATTTCTTTCTGTGCATTCAAAATTTTATTCTTCTTTTTATTTTCTGTTCTGCGCCTAGTAGTAGCTAAAAGTATTAATTGTGGAATGATGAAAATGCTTTCTCACTTTGAAGACAGTAGTCACAATAGAAATATTAGCACCTAAGCTCCTTGTATGATTAAATGAGATTTTATTTCTTCAGATCTCATTGATTAGTTTGTGTCCTTTGCTAGTTGCATGTGACCTTGAGTTCATGGAAGATTTTTCTGATACCTGCTTTTTATCACAGGTTGATATGCTTGCTGACACTGGCAGTTCAGAAAAATGCACACTTGTCCTTACTGGTTATCTACGCGCACTAGGTCTCTCAGTAAATCAACTGGTAATATAGTCTTCCCTTTTCATTGATTTGCAAAAAGTAAAACATAAAAAAATGTATATATATGTTCAGTGTCTGACTGTTTCAATATTAGGTACATGTTTCTGGAGCTGGGGATTTCCAGCTGTCCAAAATTGAACTTCTGAAGGATCCATGTCCTCTGAATGCAAGAAAAGGAGTGGAGTTCATGGAATCCGACAGCGACATACAGGTACTCTAACGTCTTATTTCCACATGCTAGTCATGCGAAAGACAGTTCTCCGGAAAAAAAAAGAACTAGCCATATATAGCAACTATGCTTGCATTTCTCTTCTTTTTCTTATTTATGGATATAGCGGCTCACTATAAGAATCCCAATTGTCGAAGAAAGTTGTGGTTTTGTTTTGTTCTTGCATAACAACTTCTTTCTTTCTGTGAAATAGGAAAAGAAAAGATGCCCCATAATATTTTTGAAAACTCTTTGAGCTGAAAATACTTTTGAATAAGATTCGGTTTTAATGTTTTTATTTGATTGAAAGTTTGGTTGAGTGCACATAAACGAATGAATGAGCATGTTTTACTTGTTGGAAATTATTTACGTCAAACGGCGTGTGCGGATACAACATATAAGAGTGACCTAATCGGCCTTACTTCTAAAACAAGAATCGCAACTGAATAGAGTAGCTCAAGTCTCCATGAGTAGATATTGGTCATCTCAAAGGCAGTATTTGGTTTTCTCCACAACTTCCCAAGAAAGTGTCATATAATTGATTCTTTCTTGGGAATTGGCAAATTTCGTATTTATTCTTCTATTTGTTTAAAAAACTTGCAGGTTGCGACGTGCCTTACCCCTGATCCAATGAAGCAAGAGCCCTTAGTTGTTGAAAATGTCCCTGATATATTGGCTGGAGAACAGGTTAATATTGTTTATTGGCACTAAATAGATTTTCAGCTTTTGGTCATGAACCATGAAGTTCAGGCCTCACTTGGATTATGCTAGTTGTCTATTTCCTTTAGCTTTACAGCATTGTCTCTACTAAAAAGAGTCTCAAAAGGTTGATTTAACTCTTTGCACTTGTGCCATAATTTCATTTCAGACATGGCCAACAGAGGCAGAAATGGCTGAAGCCGAGCGAAGTCAAAAGGAGAAAAAGACGAGAAAAAGGAGGCTTCCCAAGGGCATATCAGACTACCAGGTTGTACCTTGTTTTCATTCTTAAAAGTCTCTATCCTATCCCTTAGTTTTTTTATCTGTTTGTTGGTCACGATGCACAATTAGATGACATAATGCAACATAAATCACTCTAAATATTGTTTTGGAATATTTTACAGGCTGCATGGATCGTGGATGATTCCGATGTTGATTATTCTGACAGTGATGAAGAAGTTGGAGAGGATGGTATGGTACTGGATGATGGAGAGAGAGGCCATCCCGACCAGAAGCTTGAGAATGGCTCCGAGTTTGACGATGACCAGGCTTCTTTAGATTTAAGAGACTCTGATGAAGAAACTGAAACTGATTCTGTAATGATGGTAGGTACTGTAACGTTAATTGATGGATTTGATTTCCATTTTATTTTGTTCCATATCACAAAATAATGCTATCGAACCAACTGTACTTGAACTCTAGAACTCTCACTAAGTCAAGGAATCATTATCCAAAAATAGGTTCATCTATGTTTTTTTATGACTTTCATCTATACTTGAGAGTGATGTTAATCATCGTCATCTTTGTTTTACTATTCTGTGCCAACATTATTTACATAAAACAATTTGATTTTGTAAGGACAGATACTCGGCCATGTAATAAGTTCACTGGTATAGTTTACCTGTCTTCCTTAAGACATGGTTGTAATCTGCTTTCCTTAGTTGTTTGTTTTACTCTAATGAGTTTCACTTGTGGTACAGGATGGGGAAAACTTAACCAAAGAGCAGATAGCGGAGGAGATTCGAAAAATCAAAGAAGAACATGCTGAAGATGACGGTACCTTTCTAAGTGTTTAATATTCATTTTGGCTTCTAGTAATTTTCTGCATGTTAAGTCACACAATCAGTATTGAAAGTTAGTAGCGGGAATGGATAAGGTACGATTTAGTTGGAAGATACTCGGCTAACTTTCCCTGTTGTTACCATCTAGAATATCCCGATGAAGTGGATACTCCAATAGATGTTCCAGCTCGAAAACGATTTGCTAAGTATAGAGGTGTGAAGTCTTTCAGAACTTCAGTGTGGGACCCAAAAGTATGTTCTTTTGTTTAACTTATTCAAGCATCTTGAATTGTTCTCTGTGGGATATAATTTTGACCAAATTTATGATTTTTGTAGGAATCTCTGCCACCTGAATATGCTAGGATCTTTGCGTTTGATAATTTTTTAAGCACTCAAAAGCGTATTCTTAAAAAAGCTCTAGATATTGACCAAGATGTAAGTAGCTATGTGCCAGCTGGCTCATATGTAAGGCTTTATATCAGTGACATGCCAGCTGGCGCTGCCTCTAAGTTATGCGATTTGGCTAAGAAAATTCCAGTGGTAGCGTCTGCACTTTTGCCGCATGAGTCTAAAGTCTCTGTCCTCCATTTCAGGTACCTCCTTTTAAAGTCATTTTCTTGTTTCTGTAACTTTTTTAAGACTTCAATTTAATACTTTTACCTTTATCGATGTTTAGCATTAAAAAGCATGACTCATATGATGCTCCTATTAAAGCCAAAGAAGAACTCCTATTTCATGTGGGATTCCGCCAGTTTGTATCAAGGTATCTTGCCTTTCTTTTAATCTTTCCTTCAGAAGCAAAGGTAAAAATATATATATTTATTTATGATATTTTGTTACTGCTGTAGTAATCACTTAAGCCATGTTTGGTTTACGATGCAGGCCAATCTTTTCTTCAGATAGTATCAATGCTAACAAACACAAAATGGAGAGGTTTCTTCACGCTGGACGTTTTTCAGTTGCCTCGATTTATGCTCCGATTTCTTTTGATTCTGCTCCTCTAATTGCCTTGAAGAGCCAAGGAGAAGACACATCCCCTGCTATTGCTGCTGTAGGTTCATTGAGAAATGTTGACCCTGATAGAATTATCCTCAAGAAAATTATTTTAACCGGGTAAGAAACACATTCAACAGTGTCTTGAAAAGTATCTCTCCCTAAGATGATAATTTAGTCTCGTAAAAACAAACTAGTCTAACCTTGAGCACTCTGCGTGATTTGTTTGTGTTTCTATATTTAGATCACGCTTCTTATTTTTTAAAATTTCTTCGCATGGTGGTTGTTTCGGGTTTTAAAGCAAAATTACATTGGATATATCAACTAACAAAACAGGTTGTATCTTCTGCAGTTATCCACAACGCGTGTCTAAAAAGAAAGCAACTGTGAGATACATGTTCCACAACCCTGAAGATGTGAAATGGTTCAAGGTAATATCTTCAATTCACCTTTTAGTTTCTACGACCCTTTTTACAGAATCAACATATCTTTCATTGTTTTTTTTCCTACCTTTTTTTATTTGTTTTTACGCTTATGACCCTCTTCGTAGAATAACATCTCTTTACTTGTTTTGATGTCGGTTGCAGCCTGTTGAAGTTTCTTCAAAATGTGGCCGTCGTGGTCGCATCAAGGAACCTGTAGGCACACACGGTACGTCCATCACCATATTAAAATTGTTTCTATTTAATTTTTTAAATTTAGATCACGTTACAACTATAAACTTTACTCATGTACGTTTAATTTTTCAGGGGCAATGAAATGCATATTCAATGGCATCCTACAGCAGCACGACACTGTATGTATGAACTTGTTCAAGCGCACGTATCCGAAGTGGCCTCAGAAATGGTTTCCCCTACAGAATGATGCCTAAATTTATCGAGCACACAAAAGGCAGTGTTCACCCTCAAAAGGGAATGAAGCTCTGGTTCAGATTAAATTTCTTAGATTTTGCTGCTGAGCTGGCGAAATTAGCTCGACTGTTTTCCTTATTAAAGGTAAACACAAATTTTGGTTGTGTATTTTCCGTCTGCATGTGAATCGTAAAATTCGACATGATGAAATGCTATCGACATTATAGTTACGTGTGCTTATTCAAATTAGAAAAAAAGAAAAGAAATGGTCTTATTATCCCACCAAAATTTTATTTTTGATAATTGTTGATATTTTATTTTATTTAATTACTTATTTCAAGTGCTCGAAAGACCTTTTTTTTTAACTCTCATGGCCCGATTAGGTACTTACCAGATTGGACCCATTACCGAATATTGGACCCATATGATTTGATTTGATCCATGTGCTATAATGGGTTGACCCGTAATGCACACACAATCACACAAACATATATATAAAATAAAATAAAAATCTATTTATGCTAAACAATCCAATCAGTTTACCAACTTCATCCATTCACACATTTCCGTGCCATATTCTTCAACCTTCTCTTTTCCGTATTGAAAAATGTCTCACCCACCCAATATAAGAAAATGTATATCCAATCTTAAAGATAATTCCATTCACATTAAGATATTATATATAGACTACCATACTAAGAAAAAGAGCAATAAAACAAATGTTAGATGGGAAACAAAAAAGCCCTACCAACCATAAACAATGAAGGCACATTTGGACCTTTGAAGGAAAATTAATTATCAAAGCATGTTTTCTTACACCAAAAGATGAAATTTCACATCCTTGGGGCCCTATTCCCTGAGTCGACCAACTTTATATGGATAAATGTAAATTATGATGATTCGACGGCCCGTTAGAATAGTGGACTTGTGTATGAGGTCTATATGTATTAAAATAAAGGAGTGAATTACGAACACCCCCTATGGTATGGTCAATTTACGAAAAATCTCTCTTGTTTGGATAATTACATTTACCCTCTCAACTATGATTTTTTTACACCTCCACCCTTATGGTGTCAAATTCAACATACTCATCTAGATTTTGTGTAATGTGCTCTAGTTTGTACTTGTTTTGTGTAAAAATACAGTTTCTGATGCACCACAATCTGATATATATATATATATATATACAAGCCAAAAAACACATATTATGATCATCTTGCCTCAAAATGTAGAGTTCGAATGAGATAAAACGGGTACACAAGTGATAATATTCCATATAATCTCGAAGATTCCACTAAATTTGATGAGTTGAGGGGGTGGTGGTAATTATCCAAACAAGAGGGGGATTTTTCGTAATTTGACCATACCTCATGGGTGGTTGTAATTTACCCTAAAAGAAAGTGACCGGACATAGATGATTTTGTTTTTTTGCATGTTTTCATAATGAAAAAATCACCCTGTTTGCATAAATTCGTTCCATGTAAAAGTTAGTTTGTGCGTGTAAGAATATTATTTTATCAAGTTCAAATGATTCTACCAAAATATTTTAGATTTCATGTTCGACGTCCTCGAACAAATTTATATTTTCATCGAGAAAGTCTTTTGTTGAAAGCTTGTTACATAGAAAACCCAAACCCAAATAGGACTTGTGGCCGTTCACCGACATCATCGAGACGTTCGAGGGACGAGAGCATCACCGAGTTAGGTGGGTGAGGATGTCATGCGCAACTCAAAAACAACTCAACAAAAGTTAAAGATTAGTCCAAAAGACTAGGCGTAGGAGGCTTCCACTTAATCCATCGACAATTGTATATTTTAGAATATTATTAGAGTTGTACATGAAAGTCTTGTAATATTTTAGCAAGTTTTTAGGATATTCTTTGGTAAATATCTAGACAAAAATACTCTAGAAAATCAATGTAGTCGTATGATCAAGTTGATTTTAGGCATCCATTAGAGGTGGGCTTCGTATAAATGAAGCAAGGTGCATTTGTACTCACTCGTCCAAGAATGCAAGCATGAGAGCATAAAGCAATACAAAACATTATTCATACTAAGTACACATTTGTAAACTTTCGAGTGAGGTTGACTTAACGTTATGAGAGCATAAAACAATACAAAACATTATTCATACTAAGTACACATTTGTAAACTTTCGAGTGAGGTTGACTTAACGTTCACACAGGGTGCAATTTGATATGCGCAATGGGCGGAATAAGAGGTCTTAGTGCATATCTAGAACATAACCGCCAATAAATTACATTTTCCATTAATAACAACTTTTGGTTCATTTAATCCACATATCTCAACAAAACATAAAATATCATGGTACGTCGTCTTTAAACTTTTATACTTTTATGTGCTAAATTAAAATTGAAAGAAACAATTGGAAATAAAAAGGTGCTTTTTATTTTATATTTCATCAAAGTACAACTTACACTAAACAATAAACTTACACAACCACAAATTCTTCGGGGTAAACTTAATTGAATTGAAAACCCTTCAAGTACCTAATCTAAAAAAGAACATCAAGAAATTAAATCAACTCCATTAGTAACTATAATTTCTTCTTGACCATGGTGGATATCCGACGATAATGGACTAGGATCCACCAAAGCAAGTTCATGAAGCTCCTTAATTTCATCGAACGCCGCAAAACATTTCTCATCAAGGGTCAGCCACGCTTCTACCCCATCTCCACCGCTCGTATCCATCAGCCAAAGCACATTGATGAACGGCCATTCCGTATCACTTCCGGCATCACATTTACTCATCCACACTGGATTCCCCCACCCAAAGTCAATGTCGTAAAGACCGAAATTACACCAGCTCGATATAGCCAAGTAATCCGCTTTCTCCGGAAATTCAGTTTCTCGAAGATTCTCACAGTAACCAGCAAACCCTAATTCTCCTCCACCTTGCATCTTCTTCACAAAATCCACGTCCACCTTGCTTATCGCACTTCTCACTTTCCCGAACAAGTGCTCCATCAAATCCCCATCGCCGTTGTCGACGTCCGCAGCCGCCGGAACCAGCCACACGAAATTGCCGAAGCTATGCTCGGAAAACGGTGGGTCGGATTTTCTTCTCATGTTTACTCCATGAGTCACCAGTGATATTGAGTTTCTATCATTACCATTATTATTATTATTGTCGGAGATGGAATTATTTTTTGATGAAGAAGCAATGATGAAGCACTTCCAAAGGAGCGCCGACACAATCTCCACCCTAGACGGGCGGCGCCGCTCGAGGTTCTCCGGCGAGGAGGACAAAATCTGTGCCCGAAGCTTCGATATCGCTAATGAATCGAACACGTATCGCCGCATCACAGTTTTCCCGATTTTGAAGTATCTTCTCATGGCGGAGAATAAATAGTCTTCCCTCTGCAAGGATTCGTTATGTGGGAAGAAAGACTGAGCCGTGAACTCCGGGATGACCGGGTTCCCCTCCACCGCCGCACCGCCTCCGAGAGCGGCGGCTGCAGCCCAAGCTTTCATGAAAGTACCAATCGCCACCCCGTCCACTAGTTTATGCAAGAAAAGTGAACCAATGGCTATGCCCCCGCATTCAAAGTAGTTAACCTGGAGCATGGCCACGCGGGAGCCAGGACCGGGTTCGGCCCACGTGAGCTGATTCGGTATGTGGGCTCTGCATGCTTTCGGGTCGGGTTTCTTTAGGAAATCCGACAAATTCTCCTTAAACTTGACGACTACAAGAAGAATACCTTCGTCGTTGCAGTCGATGGACAAGGTGTCTTTGATTCTTCCGGCTAAAGGGTAGAAGAGAGAGAGAGTTGTAGAGAGAGATTGCTTCAGAATTAGCGTTGTCCGAGAAACGAAATCATCTGTAATAATATTATCAAGATTGGGATAATATAAGACGAAAGGAACAAAGATGGGTGGAACAATCTGATCAAGTAGAGAATAGTTGTGGATTTTATGATCATGAGGTGTTGGTGAAGATGGTTTGATGTTTTCACTTGAAATTATTTCACCCTCCATTTTTATTTTCTCTTGCAAGAAGGTTTATTTATGCATTAAAAAGCTCCAAGAGAGGGAATATATATATATATACGAGGGTTGTAAACGAATTCGACTCGAGTGGTACGCATAGTTTGTTCAAGCTTATTTTAATAAATAATTTTTCAATAGTATATCTCCAATAAAAATATGATTAAACTTGTCAATCCAATATTGAATATAAAATAGCCTAAATAAAAGGGATCAGCATATCCTTTGTGCTATTTAGCGGGAAAATGAA